TAAAATGCAGTTTCCATCGTCCACGATAAGTCTAGTAAGTCATATGTAAATAACATAAAAGTGTATTATAATACTTTATTACAAATTGTTTATTTGTTTTTTTAATGTTACAATACAATATCATTCGCATACAATGCCCGATCCTAACACACGTATGTACATTATTACGGTAACGGTTAATGACATTATTGTTGTTTTAAATAAACTTAATGCTAACCTATAACAATTTGTAAACTCGAAAGTCTTTACTATACCAAAACGAACTAAGTTAATATAATATACATTTTTTTGGTACAAAAAACTTCCTTAATAACCTAAACATAAGTACCTAAGTTAAAGCTATGAATCTCTAAAAGTATGACTACAGACAACTATTGAGACGTTTCTTTATATACAAGTAATTAATTTGCAACAAAATTATAAGTAAGTCATATTAATAATAAAGTTGGATAAAAATTTAATAGATAAAATAAACATGATATTCTGGATATAATGTAATTTCATTGTAAACTTTATCCAACATTTGTATTTTGATGTATCTTCTACAGAAGTATAGACTCAGAGAAACGAACGAGTAACACATCATTATAGTTTAAAATTTATTATCAGTCAATCAGTATTACTACATATAATAATAATATATGGCTGGAAAAATCAGGTTCAACAAGAACCATATATTAAATTTTCTCTCATGATTCCGTAGTAGGAGGCGTAGTAGTCCTGTTTCTTCTAGGTACAAAAGCGGGTCGAGAACCTGGCCTTATTGGCTTGAAAGATACTCTTCTTTCTGTGGTCGTTCTAGGTGCTTCTGTTGAGGTTGAGAAACTTTTATTTTTTGGGGTACTGCTTTTTCTTATATCAACAGGGACGTTCTGTGCTCTATTTGACGTATATCTTCCGCTTGGAGTAAATGTTTTGGAAGGTTTCTGGTTTAAGCTGGAAGAAGTTGTGTTAGGTTTTTTGAAAGTACGCGGTACTGGTCTTGTCACATTTGATGGTTTAATTACAGGTCTTCTTGGGAATGCAAATTTAGATCGTTTAGTATCAAACAGAGATGCTCTTTGCGTAGTTGTTTCTTCAGTTACGATTTCTGTTGTAGATGGGGTGTCCGTAGTGGTAGTATTGCTCACTGTTTCGGATTCAGTAGATAACGTATTAGGTTCTGTACTTGTCAAAAGCTCGATAATAGGACTTGTTTGAACTTTTTCTGTAGTTGTAGTCGTTGTGGTAGATTTGGTGGTTGTGATAGTTGAAGTTGATAATATGCCATCAGAAGTATTTGAGAATACAGATATACTAACTGGATATTTTACAGTAGATTCGTCTACCGCAGGCGCGCCATTAAATTCTTGACCTTTTGCAAATGTCACTATACTTCGACCTGATTCTGGTTTTATAACTTGTAACTTAACTATATTCGCTTCTTCTTTTTGTGTTGGAAGTGAGGCAGAATATACAACAAATGGCTGTTTTTCTCTGTCATCAGCTATTTTCTTTGCAGTTCTAGGTCTTTCTGTTTGAAATAACGCTTCTAATGGTAATGTAGAGGGGTCCGTGAGCATACTGCGTGGCGTTATTATTTCAAAACTCTTAGCAGCTTTATTTTGTGACAATTTCTCATTTTCATATGCAGCTGGTATAAATTGCCAGTTAGATGACGATAAATCTTCATGTGAATTTTGAGATTTCTTGTCTTCATTAATATAACTTAGAAAATCGTCTTCTGCAACTCGTTCTACTCTGTCTTTACCAAAATTATCTTGAGTGGCTTTTTTAATATGTCTATAAGCCTCGTTAATACTTTCGGAGGCTATTAGATTTTCTCTAGGAGCTTCAGCAAAATTTGTTAATGCTCTTGCATTCCGTGCTTCATCTATTCGTATAGGATTATCTGGTAGATTTTCTACTGGATAAATATGACCTAGTTTAGTTAAATAAATAGGAATTTCATCTTCTACTATTTTTATGAAACTAAATCGGCTAACTTCACCAATCTTATCAACGACTGGTTTCTTTTCAACCATTATTTTACCTTCCTCAATAAGAGTAGTCTCATTGTTTTTGTTAAGACGATGTTTGTCTAATTTTGAAGAAACTTCGACTACTCTGCTTACAGAGAATAATTTATCAAATTGTGTTTTTATTATTGGTGTTACGGGAACATTAGTTGTCGTTTCAGAAAATGTTTCAGTACTGATTTGTGAGTTAGTTTCGGTATTAGATACTGATGTATGAATATCAGATAAAGTATTTTCCTCAGCAATAGTTTGAGAATAACTTGTAGAGCCCTGTGTGCTAGGATATGTAGTTGTATCTACTGTATATTCCAAATAATCATCTTTACTAATTTCCATTGTTGCTGTTTCAATTTCAACCTTATTGGTCGACGTAATATCTTCAGGTATATTTGTATTTTCTGATAAGGTTACAGTCGTTGATTCCGTCATAGATAAATAATCATCATCAACCGTTTGCATTTCCCCTTCGTCAGTAATAACTGTAGTAGTTGCTTCTGTTACATTTTCTATGGCAGCTATTTTTGTTTTATTTTGAACTGCAAGGATATTTTTAGGTGTAGGTACAACAGGACTATTGTATCCAACTGGTACATTTTGTACACGTTTCTTTGTCTCGTTAATAGGTTTATTTGATGCAAACCTACTTTGAACTGTAGTACGATTTTGAGATTGTGTGCCACTAAATGGTTTTCTAAAAGATTCAGTTGTAGATACAGCTCTAAATGAATTGGAATTTACTACTCTAGGGATGAAGTTGGGCTTCCTAGATGTTGTAGTAAGAATATTTGACGATTTTTCCTCTTCAGAATTTTCGTCATCACTTTCTTCTTCGGATTCATTATCATAGTCATCTTCTGATTCAGTTTTAGGAATAGTTTTTCTTGGAAAATGTAGATTTGCTGGTACAAATACCAATGGGCTTTCCGGTTCTTCATCAAGAATCTCTTCTTCTGAGTATTCTTCCTCTTCTTCTATTCGAGTGGTAGTTTTGGCAGTGGTATATGGACGTCTTTGTCTTGGTGTAAATAATGGCCTTCTAGTAGTCGTTGTTGATCTAAATGAATTTTCACGATCTGCACTTGCAGGACTTGTATATGCTCCAGGATTATATTTACGACTAAAAGTCCTGCTGCTAGATGGTACAGAACCTTCGGTAGAGGATGAGAAAAGTTTTTTAGATGGCCTATATGGTAATCTTGTACGAGGAGTTGGTCTTTGAGTAGTACTTGTTGTTTTTGTTTCAATTAGTGGTTCTTCTGTTTCACTTACAGGTGTTTCATCAGGCGAAGATTCAATTTCAGATAAATCTACAGATTTCTGATTATTTTCTATAATTATTTCAGGTTTATTAATTAACTTACTATTTTCGATTTCAAATTTATTATCTTCTTTTGTAATTTCATCTTCAGATTTATTTTCTTCTGTAATTACTGGATTTTCAGACATTTTAGCGTTTTCTTTAAAATTATTATTTGATATTTCAGAGTTTGTATTAAAATTATTATTGGTACTCTGATTTTCAGTAGTAGTAGGTAACTTATCTTCATTTTTTTCTGCAATTTCATTATTTTCAGATAACTCTGATTCCAACTTATGATTGGTTTGTTTATTTTCCTCGACAGCGTCGTCGGTTTCCTCGTTTTTCAAACCTGTAGAGCTTTCTACTTTTAATAATTCAGGAATAATTTGATCTACTACCTCATCTTCTGATTCTCGTTCTTTTATAGATGGTGTACTTATTGATGATGCAGTGGTTGAAATTGTTTTTTCTCCATAATTAAATACTATTTCTGTAGTAGTATCTTTAGGTGATGCATTAAGAGAATTTATTGATTTTGCTATAATGCCTGGTTCATTATCTAAAGGTTTCAATTTTTTTCTGATAATTTTCTTTATTCTACTTGGTGTCGGATTTTCTGTAGAAATACTACTAGGTTCTGGAATCGTTGTGGATGTTGGACGTCGTCTTATTACTCTTAATCTTTTTTTATTGTTCTCATCAGTATTAGCAGTTTCAGTAGAAACTATACTCTCTGTTGTAGATGAAAGAGGTGTTCTGAGTTTTTTAATAATGATGCGTCGTTTGGGTAATTGTGTAGTTGTTTCAGTATCATCTTCATGTTCTTTCTCTTCTATAGTACTTTCTGACAGAGAAATATCATCAGGTTTGTTTTCCAGGTCATCATCATCACTTGTCAGTATCTTTTCAGTAGATGGTTGCTGCCGATATGGAAAAGGTAATTTTCGTCCTTGAATACTATTAGCTAAAGGTCTTGTATTACCAAAGGAAAACCGAGATGGGACTCGTTGTGTAACAGGTTTTACACTACTAACATCTATATTTTCTTCGGTAACAGGGATCTCTGACAAAGGATTACGTCTTCCATTAAATGGTCGGGGAGTGAATCTCGTTATAGTCGGTTTTCTTTGAGTTGGTTGAGTTGGTGTAGATTCAGTGATGATAAAGTCAGCCTCATTGATCGCAGTTGTTGAAACAGGTGTAAATTTACCACGACCTCTAGAGGGGAAACTGGGACGTCGTACATCTAGTGTAGCTGCGGAAACTTCGCTATCTTCTACATTGTTAGCTACAGTAGTTCTCCCCCGGAATCGTTTTTCATTTCTAGGAATAAAACTCGGCCTTTGAACAGCCAGTGGGGGTTCGTGATCGACTGGTGTTAATGAAACGACTTCATCGCGGGAAAATTGAGGTCTAAACTGTCCCCTTGAGACAGGGGAAGCTGCTGCCACCTCAGAATCGTCAATATTTTCCGAAGGTTGAACTCGTATTCTCTTTCTTCTAACCTGTCTAATTTGTCCTCCTATTCGAACTTTGTCGTCAGTTACTTCTCTACTATTTGGTGTGGTGGATCTAATTTTTCTGGGAACCTCATTCGTTTCATCTGAGTCCGTGAGTATCTCATTTGGTTTATGTACAGGCAAACGGCGGCGACTTACAAAAGTGTAATTCCTAGGACTCACCTGAATAGTCGTAAGTGGAGATAACGTAGTAGACCCGCGTCTTCGAATCGGAAGTGGGCGTGGTGCGATGCTCGAAGGAAGAATTAACGGTAAGGCTGTAGTCGTAGTGGTAGTCGAAGGTGGAATCGTTGTCGTAGTGGTGGTAGTAGTGCTAGATGGCATGGTCGTGGGTTGACTGTCTTCAGTTGGTGGAGCTTCCGTTTCAGACTCTAGGACTTCGGCCTCGGTTGGACTAGGTGAATTTAATAGAGAGGATATCTGAACAGCCAAAATTGTAGTGGGTTCAGGACTTTTATAGTCATCAATAGGAGGTAATGTGGTAGAACGAGTTCTGACTATTGACGTATACTGTGGCTGTGAGGATATTTCTCTTTCCAATACTTGGCCTTGCGACTCATTACTTCTTTCTGAACTTAGATATCTGAAAATAAGACAAAAACATTTTTAATGGATCAATATAAATAAAGTAATATGTAGTAAGTATTATTATGAATATGGGTAATGTAAGCGAGATATATAATGTAAATTTTTGGAAAACATTTAATTATGTATTAATTGAATACAGAATTATATTATACACATTAGCTTTACTTTAGCTGTGTAGGTCTCCGCATAGATTAGGCAACCACTTCCCTTCCCGTGGGTGTCGTAAGAGGCGACTAAAGGAGCTTATGGTAGAGGGATAGGCAGAACCGTACCTCTTATCACCAAAAGCCAAACTGCGGTCGCTAACCCGCCTGTCCAAGTGGCAACTACTAGTAAAAACTCTCTTATGGGGAAGTCTATGTTCAGCAATGAACAGTCAACGGCTGATATAGCATTGTGTTTTATAAAAAAAATTAAATTAAAAAAAAACTATTGCTTAAGATTTAAGTATAAGATTTGTCCGAGTTGTTATGTTATATTATTATATATGTTATGTTATATTATATATATGTTATTATTGTTATGTTAGGTTATTGTATGTTAAAAAAGTAGCTTATTATTATTAGAAGAGATTGCTTAGCGATACGGCCGCCTTTCGTATCACTTCTCATTAATATTTACTGTATTTATTATTTTTTTACTTGGTGCAATAATGTGTAAAATAAATAAATAAATAAATAAGCTAATAAGTGTAATACTTTATTTAAAAGGACACCTGAATAAAATTCCAATTTTACTAATAGCTTAGTTTATTAACAAAAAATTTACCATGAAATTCAGAAAAGGTTAAAATTTTCTAGATGGCATATTTGATAAAATGCATCCGAAGAGATGATAAGTTTAGAGGAAAAAAATGTTTTTTTTTTAAGGATTAATTACACGCATCGTTTACTTACTGTGCAGTGGTGGTCTCCTCAGTTGTGGGTCTTTGCCTCCTAATGGTGACATACTCTGGCATGTTTTCCCGCCGCGCACTTATAATGTCCAGAGTACTGGGCGTTTCAGAGACTGGAATGTACGGCTCGACCCGCTCGAATAGTGCATTTCTGTAAACAGATTTATTTATATTATTTTATTTATTTATACTTTTTTGTACACAAAAATTACATACTTATTAATATTAATTGGTGTACATACATACATAAATATTAATTGGTGTACACGGGATATGGAAGGACATAGGCTACATTCTTATCTCGATTAATGAAAATTTTTCGGTCACGAGGACGAAGTCGCGGATAAAAGCTAGTATCATTATAAATACGTTACCTGGAAGCAGTGTCGTCCGCAGTGTCAGACGTGGACGCAGGCGGTGCCCTACGAATGTTCACATACTGCAATGTCTTCGAAGTCGTGCCACTGTTATCTTCTGATTCTACTATACGAGATCTGGATTGCTTAAGACTTGACACCGCCGGTTTTTCTTTAACCTCTTCGCTTTCCACAGACGGTTCGGTAGATGTCTTGGTAGGACGTGATCGGTTGATTGTGATGTACCTAGGTGATATAATTTGCATATGTATATACATATATATTTGTCACGCCTGTCTCCCATTAGGATAGGCAGAAACAAAGGAAGGCCAAAAGCTTCAACGCAAATTAAAACTACATTTAACTCTAGGGACTTTGTGATCTTTATAGATGATGGAAAACAAGCTGAAGACGCACTTTATCATCATCATCATCATATCAGTCTTTAACTGTCCATTGCTGAACAGTAGTTGCCACATTTGGCAGGCAGATTGGCAACCGCAGTTAGGTTTTATAGATGTTTTAAGAGGAACACTGTTCCCCATTCCTCGCCCTCCCTTAGTCACCTCTTACGAGATCCACTGGAAAGGAAGGGATGGCCGGGACCACACGGCCGTATTTAATAGCAAATAATAACTATCACACATAGGCATAAATAAAGCTATGGGCATTATTGGTCCTTAGAATAAAAAGTATGTTGTCAAATCAAATTGAAATTTTAATTTTAGAAGTAGGTTTAGAGAAATCGCGCCTGAGAATCGACCACAATGTCTATCTGCAGTCGGTTTGCATACACTTTTGTACAATTTTTAAATTTTTAGTACCACAATGTATACATATACATTGAAATTGATATTAAAGACATTGCAGGGTATCAATGGTGGTTGCTCAGGACCGTTCTTTATGGCAGTCTATGGGAAAGGCCTATTTTTCAGGTTCATTAGTGGACGGATAATGACTGAGATGCTGATGACATACATTGAAAATAATATTAATATATATATATATGTAGATATATATGTAGATATAATGAAAAAAATAATAACCACTTACTGTGGCCTGTCCTTTTTAATCAGTACATTCTTGTCAGGCGTTGGTTCTAGTCCTGCATTCTGCGGACCTCTGCGACTATTCTGAGACGAACTGTCCTCACTTACGCTGTTCAGGAATCTGAAATTTATTATTTTACAATGAGAGAAATCGTTAAAAATAAGGTTATATGGAGATGATATTTTTTTTTTAGAATTTTCCAGAATGCGAGTGAAGTTTTGCAAAGATCTATCTGCCTTATTTAACGGATCGTGCCATGAAAGTAACATTATATACTAGGTTTAGTACTGAAACTTACTTGTTCTTTCCTCGCGTTCTCTCCAGTACTTTGTACAACTTCTTGTTTAACGACGACGGTGTGGTAGACGGGCCATCCGTGCTGACTGAGGTTTCTGAGAGGCGCAAATGCTTTTCCAGCTGTTCCACGCCACCTGTTCAAGATTTTATATTTAGAACAATGTCTCTAGGTGCTTTTGCTTTTAGTTGATAACAATTGCATCTGGCTTGTGCTATCAGTTTACGCTGGTGGAGAAATAGGTGACGATGAAAGTAGATCTCTTGGCCCATCGTTATTAATTCATTAAGAATGAAAATGAAAAAAACGACCAAACCACGTCCACGATGGTTTTTGGAGGGAAATGCGGGGAGAATTAGACCCATTACGAACAATCCTTTCTCTCCTGTCTATGGGTGTAGACAAGGGATTTTTGAACATTTTTGTTTTGGGATATGGCGTGAATTTACTGGGTACAGAGGAAAAACACCTGAGTCCTCAGGAATGGCAACGCATGGGGGGTATCATGGGCGAAACAGTATACTCTGTTATGTCCATGGTACTGCTCATGTGTATAGGCGACGGTTACCACTTTCCATCAGGTGGGCCGTTAGCTTGTTTGCCATTCTAAATTATATATATATATAAAAAAAAAACATCTATATGTGTGAAAGAGTTTCTTCTGATGTCATTAAGGACCGAGGTCTTTGGCACTCAATTCTATTTACTTAATTCTTAAAGATACTAATGTCAAAGATACTCAAATACGTACATATATATTTTATACGGAGAACTCTCCATGTAAGAGTACAATATGTCAATACATTAGTGCAAGAAAATAAAAACTCGAGAGAAAGATCTGTACCGAAAATACCTGGCCAGTAATTATAGGTGCCACTAATGAGGAATCCACCATTTTACTTGAAATTTTAAATTCTGTTTTATCATTCTGATATGATATATTCATGTTACCAACCCGACTGCCAAACGTGACAACTATTAGCAAAATCCCTTTTAAAGGCGGGGGGGGGGGGGGGGGTGGGGGGGGGTTATTTTCAGAAGTTGTCAGTTAACGCTTGATATAGTGATGATAATTTTGATACGAACTACATACCGACTTTCTTGATAAGATCAATCAGTTCCTTGATCACTTTTGGGTCTTCGGCATCCACATCACTGGTGTCCTCCTGAACTTCCTCCTCGACTTCTTCTTCGCTCTACAAAAAGAGAAGCAGATTAATAATATTGGAATGATAATGTGGCATTTATAGCATTTCTTGTTACAAATTATCTTTCATTCGGTATTTGTTTTGAACCGTGATTTTATGCACGTGGATGGATACTTCCATAAGTAAGATAACTTAATACTATTTCACAAAAAATAAACCGACTTCAATTGTGGCAAGAGCAGCTATCTTGATTTAATACTAAACTACTGTACCGATTTCGATAAAATTTCTATGAGATTTATCCATAAGTATATATTTTCAGATATAACAAAACTTTCTAAATTAATTTATGGTTGACGGAGATATAAAAAAAAATAAGTAACTGAAAAAAAAAATAAGAAAAGTAAGTGAAAACTATTTTATTCCTAGATGAGGTATTAATTGATACACCAGGTTTTTGGTTCGATCTTTTAGAACGCGTCTGTGAAAACTGCATTGAATTTAATGCACTAGATTATTAACGGAGACGTATAAATGCATATGACTAACTTAGAATAGTTACAAGATGGATGAATACTAAATACAAAGATATTAATAATTATTAGATTATTTATAATGATTAGTTTTCTCTTATGTTTTACTAACTTTTTACACACTACTTCGTACACGTAAATTTCAGAAGTAGGAAAATCAGTTAAAGAGACCAGTATAGACGGGCTATTAAATTATCACACAAGACATCAGATTTTAGATCTTCAGAAATACTACTGTGAAAATCAGATTCAATTGGTGCAGTAATTTTTTAGTCATACCGAAATAAATATATGGACGATAGACATACAAAATCTCTAAAAATATTGTTTTGGTAACATCATATCAGCTTTTAACTGTCCACTGTTGGACAAGCCTCTCCCTTGGGGGGTTTGCCAGTATTTTTTAAGCTTTGAAGATGTTTTAAGAGCAACGCTGCTGTCTATCTCTCGCCTTCCTTTAGTCTTACGATATCTACGGGAAAGAAATGGGTGGCCTGTTTTATACCAGAACCACACGTCGAATTTTGGGATGTATTAGTTTTATTAAGACCTTTCACATATTTTTTACAAACACCTATCCAGTTACAATTTTAAATTTTATTTTTATTATTTTTTTATTTAACCTTCTTATGTGCCCACCATTCATGCGTCATGCCAGAACGAACAGTCAGACAAAATTGACTATTCAAAAATGCTTAAAATTAAATTATTCTTATAGATGAGGGTAGTCACCTCTGGTTCCGGTGTGGTAGTCGTCGTTGTCGTCGTCCTAAACAGAACTGAGTTCTTGGTGCTCAGCTTGATAGGTTTCCTCGTGGTGGTGGTCGTGGTGGTAGTGGTGGAGGTGACCTTCGCGGGTGCTTTCGTGGTCGCGCTCGGTTTTTTGCAGAGCACATTGCGCGCGAAGTCGCAAGAGTCGGCCGCTTTGTTGAAGAACAGACCTGGAGCGTATAGACGTTAATTTAAAGGATTATTCTTTATATACGACTGAAGGCTTGCTAACCATTAGATTCTCCGTTGTCCCTACGGAGTTATTTTTTTGAACTATACGTTATATTGCGGGAGTACATATCACTGGTTATTAGAAAAGAATATTTTGTTTAATTCCGCTATTCCATTGTTAGCAATGGAGTTGGACAGCCCCATTGCTAGCAATTTAACCTATCAGGTCGACCTCCACGTGCTTCCCCCTGGAAACCATCGTGAACAATTCTCGTTGAATTCGTCACGATGGGCTAACTGACCTACTTCATCCTCATCTATCATCCTTCACTGGTGCCCTATCAGCGTATACCGAAAGCGCGGGTGGCGTTACTATTGCATTATCACCTATAAAGAAAAGAACTCAAACTCATCTATATGGCTGAACGGGTTTAACTGAAATTTGGCATATGGATGGAAGACTAGGCTAGAATATCCTAGATTAGCTTATAATATATTTTTCAAATACATACAATCTAGTGAAACTGCTGGTATTATGTAATTTAGTTTTAAAGAATAAATTATTTTTGATGTAAACTCTATAGTGTTGCCGTCATCCGTTCCAGTTTAAAAAATCTGCAAGATACATCATGCTAAGATTATAAGAAATTACCAGAAGGACAGGTGAACTGGTGCGCTACGATGCCCAGGTTGGACGGTCCGGAGTCTAAGCACCAGAAGTACTTTTTGCAATCCCGGGGATGGGGGAAGAAGCCCTCATCTTTGCATTTGAAGTCTGAAAATGATATAAAGCAATGTTTACTAAGAAGTTAGTAGCACGAAAGCGATGGGATGAATTCTTTTTAAAAGAAAATATATATGGCCTGTAACTCTGTATCAAGCATCTAACTATATTATTTTTAATATTATATACTCATACTAGCGACCCGCCCCGGCTTCGCGCGGGTGCACATTACATCACATCCCATTAGAAACCTCTAAAATTATCAGTGTTTCTTTACTGTATTATGCATGTATTATACATATAAATCTTCCTCTTGAATCACTCTATCTATTAAATAAACCGTTTTAAAATCCGTTGCGTAGTTTTAAAGATTTAAGCATACATAGGGACGGACAGACAGCGACAGCGACTTTGTTTTATGCTATGTAGTGATGTAACAGATTAATTTCTTTGTTACCTCCTGACATTCAACTTTTTTTACCTTTTATACCTTTCTACCTGTACCTTTCCTGCACTAAATTACTCGCTAATTATTTTTTCTCTAACTGCATTGGGTTGGTTGGAAGATCTCCTTTAGAGATAAATCCACCCTTCCTAACAAGTTCTTAAACTAATCGCTGTATCTTATTTTCAAGTACATTAAAGAATATACCATATATATAAAAAATATAATTTTATTGCGACAATCATTATGAGGTTTGGAATATCATCGTCGTCGTCATATTAGCCGCTAACTGTCCACTGCTGGACATAGACCTCCCCTATAAAGGGAGGTTTTGCCAGTAATCGCTCGCTTGGCAGGTTGACAGGTTGGCAACCACAGTTAGGTTTTGGTGATGTTTTAAGAGAGACGCTGATGCCTATGCCTCGACTATTAAATTCCCTTTATCGCCTCTTACAACACCCACGGGAAAGGAAGGGATGGTCCATTCTACGCCGAGACAATAAAGCAATATTTAAAATTTGGAATATAGTTAGGTATTTTTTGAGATAAAAAAGGTTACAGTCCACTCTTAGTTATGCGGATGAAGTCACGAGCAAAAACTAGTCTTTTATAATAGGTAGACTGGGATAATAACAGTTTTATGTAATCTTACCAGCTCCTGGGTCGGGGGTGGTGGGCGGCTCCGGCGTGATCACGTTCCACGCTGGCGTGGTGCTGGTGAATGATGAACCACTCTTACGTTTGCTGCTCAGCGTCCTGGAGCAATAGCAGACACCAATTATTACCTCTTTCCGTATTAATTCATTCATATTTTTCCTACCATGTTACGCAACTACGTAATCAGTTTAATTCCCAATGGATTTTTACATTTGTTAGTTCCATTTTTTATTTTGCTTTTTTTACATATTTTTATTTATATTTTTGATATATTCTATTGATAATAGTACATATTCATAAATATTTGTATTAGATATGTTGGGATCGAACCTGTACCATCGGAAGGTGAGGTAGTGTGTTAAATTCTTAAGTTAAACACTTTTAACTCTGTGTTCAGATCAGTCAATTGTTACATTTTTTTATTAATTATTTCTTACTTATATATTTATTATTTGCCAATTAAATATTTCCTATTTTATGTCATATTGTTTACCAGAGGGAGACTTTGTACAAAAGTCGATTGCTTAAGTACCTCTGTCTCATTCGTGTTTCTACCATGAAGCAGTTATGTTTTCATGACTGTGTTTCGATTTGAAGGGTGGGATATGACAATGAATTTATAAGATACAGAGGAATAACACTTGAGTCCTCAGGAATGATTACGCATGGGAGGTATCATGGGCGAAACAGTATACTCTGTTATATCCATGGTACTGTTCATGTTCATAGGCGACGGTTATCACTTTCCATCAGGTAGGCCGTCAGCTTGTTTGCCATTCTAAGTTGTATAAAAAAAGTCAGCCTTACAGCCATGTTGACCATATACCATTTAACTTTGCGATGATGAAAGTGTTTTATTTTGTGTGTATGCGAATATTAAACGTTATTCTTACTTGGCAGCGGTGGACGGCTGGGCGGTGGTGGTAGTGGTGGTGGAGACGCGGGGCCGGTTGCGCCTCTTGGCGCTCGCTTTAGTCACCGGCTGCGACACTATAGCGTTGTCCGTGGCACTGCAAATTTGACAATTACTAAAAATTTAAAATTGATTTAAAAATAAAACGAGATTCTCAATTACACGCTAATGGGGGGAAAAGGGATTGTTAGTAATCGAGACTGAGAATCCCATTGCTAACAATATACCCAACCAGGTCGACCTTCTCGCGGTTCTCCCTGGAAACTATCATGGTTAATTCCTGATGAATTCATCATGATGGGCTAACTGGCCTGTTTTCATTCTCATCTATCACCCTTCACTGGTGCTCCGCCAGCGTATCCCACTAGCGCAGGCGGGGTTACCATACCATTTTCACCCATCAAAAAAAAATTACACGGTAGTAAAAAAAAACATAAAACATTTAACAATAAACAAAAATGAAATAGAAAAAAAAAACACTTAAATGGTGTCACTCAATTATATATGTCATGTTCGAAAGATTAATTGATTTCCAGTTAGTCCATCATTAAAAAATGATTAAGATGTAAGTCTAAAAATATTTTAAATTATATTATTTAGAATAAAAAAATATATTCAGTGTTATTAAAATTTAAAAAAAAAATTAACCAGGTTGTCTGTAAGAGATTGCTTTTAGCGATATGTCCGCCTTTTGTATATGCACATTCTGTATAAATACTCCTTGTATACATCTCCATTGTGCGCAATAAAGAGTTTATTATTATTATTATTTTATTAAAAAATATTAATATAATAAATAAATACACAAAACTTTAATGCATACAGAAAATACAAAAGTATATTATTTCAGAAAGTACATTACGAATAGAAATCTTAAATTTAGATTCATATTTCTTTACATTAAAATACCTTGAACGAGAAATTCTGATGAAGATTTCATGTTATAAATTTTTATGATGATATTTATTTAGTAGCATAGAATACTTTGTTAACAAAACTAAGTCGAGTGACGGCGCACTGTTCGCCGAAATATGGGCACGATGAGAAATATATTTAACTACCCTTTTAAGGATTATATTTTCAACCCCATTAGAGATTACTCAAGCAACAATATGTGTGTATTGAAATTGATTAACAATAATAATGTTACCCCAGCTTGGCTATGTATGCCTCCTTGGCTGCTTCGATGAGCGGGTACGGCTTCTCGTGACAGTTGCCGCGGAAGTCATCGTTGTCGATGGACCAGAACATTATACCTGCAACACATATCAAGTCACTACTTATAATAACGCTAGAGAGATACTTGTCAAAGATAACAGGTAAGAATTTATGGCCAGCATTATACATCCAACATCACCCATAATTTGGACATCATCATAGGGCATCATCATCATCATAGGCCTTTCCCTATTGTGGGGTTTTACTAGTAGTTGCCACGCTTGGCATCCTTCGATCATTAAGTTCTTTTAGTCGCCTTTTATTATAACTACGAGAAAGGAAGGGGTGCCCATTCTATGCCTGGACCACACGGCGAATACAGTCATACAAGCATAGACCTTTTAAAACTCGCAAGCCATTTAGATTGTATAAATAAAGGCCCTTTTCTTTATACAACTTAGAATGGCAAACAAGCTGACGGCCCACCTGATGGAAAGTGGTAATCGTCACCTATAGACATGAGCAGTACCATGGACATAACACAGTATGATATGAGTATTTCGCCCATGATACCCCCCATGCGTTGCCATTTCTGAGGACTCCGGTGTTATTCCTCTGTACCCTGTAAATTTACCTCATATCCCACCCTTCAAACCGAAACACAGCCATGCAAACACAACTGCTTCACGGTTGAAACACTAATAGGACAGAGGTACCCAAGCAATCGACTTTTGTACAAACATACACAGTAAAAACATAAACCAACCTTTTTAGTCATTATAATAGAAATAATAATTTAGAGCTCATAAAATTGGTTTATGTTAAAAAATTTAAACGAATTTATTCGACATTCCAAAGTAGAGATTTTTAAGTTTATTAAACCTTCCCGTGTTCAACTCACCTCCTAATCCATTCTCGGCGACGTATTCGGCCTTCTTTTTCACTATTTCCACATCGTCGTACCCGACCCACTGGTTGCCTTTAAACGCGACGGGGCCCATAGCATTCGGGTTAGGGTACATCACAGTCCACGGTTCGTCCACTTCGGTGGACTCCTCAGAATCCTCCTCTTCATCATCTTCGTCGTCATTTTGACGGACGCTGCGTTTTTTCTCTTTAGGCTTTAGAGCTTCACAAATCTGAAATGAAGTTAGGAATAATTACTTATTGATCATGTACGTAGGATCATTTATTAAATAGAAAAATGGGTTAAAATGTCGTTCTATTTTTTATTAACATTTTTTTAGCTAATAAATGTCTACACAAAAATAATCAAGAAATAATAATATATCGCTGTTCGTGATGAGGTGCGTTATATGACGAGCTACGGTTGTGTCAAACTGCGTAATATTATAAGCTACAATTATGACTATAAAATGAGCTGTGATTGCGTTAAACTGCGAAATACGACAAGCTGTGATTATGACCATTTGCGTATACAACGAGCTGTGATTTTGTTAAACTATGTAATATGACAAGCTGCGATTATAAATATTTTTATTCATATATTTCATTTAAAGTCTTTGAAACAAGGGAATATATTATATGAGACATGTACAATACGAGTTATAACAGTGAATAAAGAAAGATATGTAGGTATGTAAGAATAAAAGCGTTTGGGATTTAGTTTTGTAACACTAAAAGTGTGATGATCAAGTTACAGTATCTAGAAGTCTTACCTCGTAATAAGCCAAATATCCTTTCTCCCGCGTAGCATCTCCCTGCTCACCAGGTCCGTCTGCAGGGGAGCCGATCTCCACGGCATCAGGGTTGAACAATGTGTACGAACGGCCATACGTCGGTATACCGAGCACCAGTTTATTAGGATCCGCGCCGTTTTCAATGTAGAACTTAATTGTGTAGTCCTGGAAATTGAGATAATTTTGTAAGAAATTAATTATGTTCCCGAAGAGTATGATCCTCTGTCTAACCTCCTTAAAACAGAAATGTCTCAATGTTTTTTTTTTAAAGATGAGGGGCAAAAGAGCTTGCGGCTTACTTGATGGTAAGTGACTACCGCCGTCCATGATCACCCTCAATATTAAAGTTATTGAAGGTGTGTTGCCGGTCTTTAAAAAAGGAATATGCTCTTTTCTTGAAGGTTATGATGTTATATTGGTTCGGAAATACTGCTGCTGGAAGTTGATTCCAAAGAGTGATTGTGCGTGGAAGAAAGTGCCTTGAAAACAGTGGAAGACCGCCACTCATCTAGATGGTTGGCATGAAACTTTAGATATCTCTAAGGAGGTTAAACAAGGGAATACAGTTTGTATGAAGTTCCTTTCTGATGCACCTCTGCATTACAGTAAAGATTTGCTATGTGAAAGTTAATATTTTTACGCTGATAGGTTTACGATTTGTTTTTGGTATCTTGAAACGAATCCTTGGTCCCATCACTGCAGAATACTATGGTATTTTAGCTGGTAGGAGTCTGGCAGTAATCATTTGTTTCCCTCGGAAGGACTGTATGCCCATGACAGATTTCCCCATAGACGAAGCACTGAGAATTTTTAAGCGATTTCGAAACGGAAAAATTTCTTGATTTAAATATTAATTTATAATATTTGTATACTACGCGATGTATTCCCTAATTTTTTAACTTCTCGTAACAACGGAGATGTTGAGTTTTTTTTTATAATGTGTCAGTTACTTACAATGTTGAGTTCGTTGTCAGTGCTGTATTCGTTGGGTTCTTCCAGAGGGAACAGGGGCGCGTGGTGGTTTACCGCCGGCTCGAATGCTGAGTGATAGTCGTACGTTAGCAGATTCATCCAGTCCAAGTATCTGTGGGTGGTAAAATAATAAAAATTAAATGAGATTTTTGAGAGGTTAACGTATTTGCGAGATATAAGAAAAAACCGACTTTAACTGGGTCAAAATCAGTTTTTTTGATTTAAAAACTGAACTACTGAGCCGATTTTTATAAATTTGAAAAAATAAAGTGATCTGAAAGTGTAGTTTCAGAAAAAGAATGAATTTTAGAAATTGATCCACAAATGACGGAGTGATGAGGTAACAAACATAAATAAGTACAATCAAATTAAGAACTTATTCCGTTTTTGAAGTCCGTTGATAAAAGACACCGATGAAAAGCTATGTACATATATCGGAAGCAACACTAGAGTGAACCCTACCAATTGCAATCAAAATGTTTATGTAATGCAAAAGTTTTACAATTATTCCAGAATGTGTCCACGAAATGTCTCAGTCGTTCATTGGTATATGCGTTCATCGATTCATGATTCAAGTAACATTTTTCAATCGACTTCAAAACAGTGGAAGGTTCTTAATTCAACTGCATTTTTTTATTTTCAGATTGGTCCCATGGAAATTTTCTTAAAACCGATTTAGTTGTTCAGTTTAAAATAAATCAAAATAATGGTTTTTAACATTTTTGAAATTAGAGTTTTTTTTTTTTTTTGTAAAACATAATCTTAAATAATCATATATTATAATAAATTATATATAGTTCATAATTTTATTTTTAATTTGATAAAGGTGTACTTTATTAATTATACAGCATTATCATAATTACTTGTACAACAATTAGTCCTTAACGTAAAATTACCTTAACGTTGTCTTGAAAAGATTGCTCTCAGCAATAACACCGCCTTACTGTACTTATACAATTGTATCGTTGTGTTTGTAAATTGTCTTGCTTATTTCCTATATTGTATAATGCAAATAAAGTATACTCATTCATCCATACATACATTCATCCATACATTCATTCGTTAATTTGTGTCGTACCAAAATGTACTTGTGATATATTATCTAATAGTACTAGCTACTCGTGCTGCTATAATCGTTAGATATATAATTAAGATTAATATATCCAAGGTTGCGCATTGATTGAATATCCAACTATTTCCTGATACAACTCTGATCTATTTTTCATAAGAGATGATCAAGGTCTGTCTTAATATATATAGACTATTAATTCATAATTATAATAACCTTTTAACATTTTGTGATTCGCCTAATATTTATTAGGAATTAAGTGTAACGTCACATCACACCAAGAGATGTCGCCACTAGCCAGCCAATGCCGAGCTACACCTCCCTCCAGATACCGCCACACGCCAAGCTAAGTCATGCCAAAAGGGACTCTAAAGCCAAGGCATATACGCGAGCGAAGTGTCAATTATGTAGTCCTTTTATATTGAGACTAGCCTATATCTAATAAAAAAAAAGCTATCATCATATTTGTTGTGTTTAATAAGAGAATTCCTTTTTAAAATATAACTAAAAGCCAAACTACAGTTGCCGGAGGAAGGGTTTTTTAGTAATTAGGTCTAATGAACCCATTGCTAGCAATACAATATCAGGGGGGAAAAGGATTGTTAGTAATGGAGACTGAGAATCCCATTGCTAGCAATATTCCCAACCAGGTCGACCTCCTCGCGATTCTCCCTGAAAACTATCATGGTTAATTCCTGATGAATTCATCATGATGGGCTAACTGGCCTGTTTTCATTCTCATCTGTCACCCTTCACTGGTGCTCCGCCAGCGTATCCCGTTAGCGCAGGCGGAGTTACCATACCATTTTCATCCATCAAAAAAATACAATATCAGGTTGACTTCCACGCGGTTCCCCTGGAAACTATCGAGGTTAATTTTAGTGGAATTTGTCACGACGGGCTAACTGACCTGCTTTCATTGTCACCTATCATCCTTTACTAGTGCTCCGCCAGCGTATACCGATAGCGCAGGTGGGGTTACCATCCCATATAACCTATACTGGCAAAATCTCCCAAATAGTAAACTGCCATAAAGAATAGAATAGAATAGAATAGAAATCATTTATTCAAATAAACTTACATTGAAGCACTTTTGAAAAGTCATTACATTTTTTTTAATTTACCGCTCGTTCGGAAAGCTGTCTCATCACAAGAAGAACGAGCAAGAAACTTGCGTGATGCTCTTTTAAATAATTTTATTATTATTTTACATTTTTAAGTTTAATTGTGTGAGTAAGAATGTCCCTGTTCCTTATGGCATATCTATAAGGGAAGCATATGTTCAGCAGTGAATTGGTAATGGTTGATATCATGATAGATATAATGATAGTGTAATAGCGGTAAAGTTATGAGCCATCTATATAGATAGGTCTCGTCTATTTCTCCCGTAAAGCAGTACCTGTGAGTTATGTCATGGCTTTGCTAAAAGTGAATTGGTTATAACGATTTTTTTTTATCCAACTTAGAATGGTATACAAACTGACGGCCTACCTGATGGAAAGTGGTAACCGTCGTCTATAGACATGAGCAGTAGCATGAGCAGCGAAACAGTATACTCTGTTATAGTATACTGTTTCGCCCATGATACCCCCTATGCGTTGCCATTCCTGAGGACTCAGATGTTATTTCTCTGTACCCTGTAAATTCACGCCATAGCCCACCCTTCAAACCGAAACACAGCCATGCAAACACAACTGCTTCACGGTTGAAACACGAATGGGACAGAGGTAGTCAAGCAATCGACTTTTGTACAAAGTCTCCCTCTGGTTATCTTTTTAATTAAAAATAGTAATGAAAAAAGGAATCATTCAGTATTTTGTGTGGAGCAAAAGTTTTAATTATAATTCCTTTCAATCGACTTCAAAAAGAAGAAAGTTCTCAATTCGATATTTTGTATATTTGTTACCTCATATCTATGTTAGTTGTAAACCGATTTCAAAAATTATTTTTTTATTCGAATGGAATTTGGTCTTATGTAACTTTTATCAAAATTGATTTTTTTGTTTGGTTTTTAAATAAAAATAATTGATTTTTCCACAATTCCAATAGTTTTATTTCAAACACAATTTTAATTATAATTAAAAAGATTTAAATCCAAAAATCCATTTTACATAAATGTTAAAAAATAACACAATACCATCATGCAAGGAATAGGTGTTATCGCAAATCCATAATCACTATTAGGACTTACGGATGTTCCTACCAGTAGATACCTGTTATTTGGTGAACGCAAAACGAAAAGGTCAAGGTATTGAAACGTCTTAGTCCAAAAATCCGGTTTGACAATCCTTAACCTTATAGCGAGCTAAACTTATCAGCGGTTATTGATCATGGTCGAACAAACTTGATCTGATGAACAACATACCCTGCTTAGGCGCCTGAGGCGCAATCTTTTGTTTATTGATAAAGGATTGTTCACGATATTAATACAATACGATTGATCGCTTAATGTAGTCATATTATGTTTGCATATCAGCTTCGGTGGTCTGGGTGTGTATCACAAATGTCGGATGGTAGGGTTTCACAGAATAACAACGATGCCTACGCCCACTTTCTATCATCGTACGGCTCGCCATCGACAGGGAGTTCAGCCTCATACCTTACAGCCTAAATGGTCGCGTACAACGCGGTTTCAAAGATGTTTTCTCCCACGAACACTCAGGTTATGGAATGAGCTCCCTGTCGAGGTTTTCCCAAGAGACTACAGCATGGGGTTCTTCAAAAGGGGGTAAAGAGGTTTCTTCAGGGTCGGCAACGCGCGCGTAATACCTCTGGTATTGCAGGCGTTCATAGGCTACGGTAACCGCTTACCATCAGGTGGGCCGTATGCTCGTTTGCCACCTCAGCGGTATAAAAAAAAGAATATGGAACCTGGAATGTTCAAAAATTTTAATCATTTTTCCATACATATTTTTTCAGGTAGACTCCAGTTTCTTTAGAAAAAGGTTTAGTCTTCAACTAACTTCAAAAACAAGGAAGTTTTCAATTCGGTTGTATTTTTTTTTTACGTTTGTTACCTCATAACTCCGTCTAAACCTATTTGTAAAAATCTTTTTTTTTTTTATCTAAAAGGATATAGTTACAGATAGGTTTTTTTAGAAACCGCAACATAGCCATGCAAACATAACTGCTTCACGGTTGAAACACGTATGGGACAGAGGTACCCAAGCAAACGACTTTTGTACAAAGTCTCCCTCTAATGGAGTTATGAGGTAACAAACATAAAATAAACCCTAATTGAAATTCTAATTTTTGAAATCGGATAAAAACTTAGTGAAAATTAACAGTACAATATTACCCTGAAAATCATTGAATACATAAAATAACACTTTCCCCTTTCAAGTTTTCAAGGTTGACTGAAAGAATTCCCTTTAAGAGATAAGTCTGCCTGTGTACATTCTGCTATAACCTAATATCTATACTATATGGGGGGAAAGGCATTGTTAGTAATGGAGACTAAAAATCCCATTGCTAGCAATATACCTAACCAGGTCGACCTCCACGCGGTTCCCCCTGGAAACTATCATGATTAATTCCTGATGAATTCATCATGATAGGCTAACTGGCCTGTTTTCATTCTCATCTATTACCCTTCACTGGTGCTCTGGCAGCGTATCCCGTTAGCGCAGACAGAGTTACCAATCTATTTTCATCTAATAAAAAAAATATCTATACTATAAGTGAATGTACAAAAGCATATAAATAAATAATAACAAACCGCTATGTATTCCACGTAATAACAATTTCGGTGACGCTCGACGACGGCACGCGGCACCGGAAACCGGAAACGGCGTTCCGTTCCATTATAGCAGTGCATTCGGCTGCATATGCAAATTGTATCACAGTTTGTTTGTTACACAAGCACGCTTGCTCATAAAGACAAAGGAAACAGAGCGTGCAGCCGTCTGGGGAAGACGATATACATTGTTCAAGTAAGATGCTGGTTGTTTAGTGTGATTATAGTCGTTAGTGCGCTGCGAGTGCAATTTCCACATATTTGTAATATTTTCTTATAATTGTTTGTATTTAGGATAAGTTTACTA